GTGCTGTACCTGTGCGTCCAGGTGAGTGTAGGTACACCTCCTCAGCCAGGTGTGGAAGGATGGGGGCGATAGAATGCGTCACCCCATCTAGAATCTCTTCCAGTACTGTCTGGCAAGAACGCCGACCCAACGAGCTTTCAGGATCACAGTACAGCCTAAGAGACAGTGGCACAGGGTGAAACAGAAATCCCTCAGGCACAGCCGGCCTTTTCTAGGGGATAGTTAACACGGCAGAAGGTGAAGGTGGTTAAAGAAAGGAAGCAGATTCATGTGTTAAAGGGCTCTTTGAAGAAGCAACAGCGCCCAATGACACACACAGAGCATATGATTAACACAGGCGGAAGGCATTCAGGGAAATGTGTACAACTGAATTGAGAACTGTTTCATGAATAGGACCCAGTGTACAGAAAAGGGTTAAATGTTCATATTAGGGTGATGTAATTAGTGGATCTAATCCCTGTCATCCCAGGGATCCGTCTGCCTGAACTGATACTGGCACTACTGCTCGTCCTAATTTATACCAATGATCTAGATTATGGAATAATATTGAAACAGGTCAATTTTACAGGTGATACCAAATTAAATCAGCAAACACTGCAGTAGCAGCAAATGAAATTAAAAAAGAATTTCAATCACATTTCGTGACTGAGCACATATGTGCAAGGTGACATTTAGTACACACAAGTGCAGGGTTTTCCATTCAGGTAGTAACAAATAACTGTAAATACAACATGGAAAAAACTGAGCTAGAAGAGATTTGCCTGTTCGTAATGTACACTGACAGGCTGAAGGAACTGAGTTTCCTCAGTCTTCAACAGAAAAGACTGTAAGGAGACCTGACACAAGTATTCAATATCCTCAAATACACTAAAAAAGTCAACCCATCTCCATTCTAAAGATTTCCTCCGAATGAGCAGGCATACACAAATCAGAGGACACAGTGGAAACTTGGAGACTATGTGTAAGTACATTTCATACTGAGAATAGGAAGCACTGTTTCACACAAAGGGTTGTGGGAGTGTGGA